CGAGGATTAAGTCTCTAGCTCCCACTAGTCACTGATACAGGCTTCAGAGTTTAACAGTGACTTCACACTTCTGATTTCCCTTGGCAACCTAAAGTAAAGAAAACACCAGTTTGCTTTTTCCTATAACAACAGTTAACAAAACAAACATTTTATTATGAAAGAGTATCTCAGAAACTGTTTGCACTACAACAAGAGTGTACTTTACTTAGAATACATCTAGTTTGGCAAGAGTGTTATACACTTGTGCTTTTTGCTATATTTGTTTCTATTCAGTGATTATTAGTACTCATTAATTCAATAAATATTTGAATGCCTACAATGTGCCAGACACTGAAGATATAGTCCTAGACAAAAATTGGCAAAAATTTCTGCTTCAATGGAGATGGATAAACAAATCTTGTGCACACACACTATGTGTCACATACAGTCATGCACTGCATAGCATTTCAGTCAACAATAGACTATATATGTAACAGTGGTCCCATAAGATTAGAATACTCTTATTTTATGGCACATTTTCTGTGTGTAGATAAACAAATACCATCATGCTCCAGTTGCCTCCGTATTCAGTGCAGTACTGTGCAGGTGTGTAGCCTAGGAGCAGTTGGCTGTACCAGATAACCCAGGTCTGCAGTAGGCTCTACCATGTAGGGTTGTGTACGTGAACTCTGTGATGTTCGCATGATGACAGAATTGCCTTTGTCAGAATGTATGCCTGTTGTAAAACAGTGCATGACTGCACATGTTTCAGATGCTAAATGCTAAGGAGCCAACGCATGGGAGGGAGGGAGGGAAGGAGTGTTTGGGGCAGGTGTACAGTTTAATATCCGGTGTCAAGGAAAATCTCACTGGAAAGGTGCATTTGTGGAGGGAGGAGGGAAGCGTGAAATGCAGAGAGCTTGAATTTGCGTTGTTCCCAGTGTGTGCAGGGACTGGGATGTTGTCCTGTGTGGAAGTAACAGTAAGCAAAGGAGAGAACAGAAAGACTTGAGGCCAGAGAGGCACTGAAGAGCCAGATTTTGTACAGCTTTTTAGTCCATGATGAGCAGGTTGTTTTTTTATCTTACAAGATGAGAAGTCATTAGATTTTGAACTAAAAAGTGCCATACTGTGATGTATATTTTTAAAAGATGGCTATGGCTGTTGGGTTGAGAACAGACTGCTCAGTGGGGCAAGAGCTAGGAGGAGGGAGACTGAGAAACTGCCAAACGTAACATTAGTCCAGGGGAGGGGGTACTTGCACTGTGGAGCTGATAACAGACTTGCTGAGGGGCGATGGGACTAGAGAGGGGTTTTAGGCACCATTTTGAAGGTGGAGTGGACGTGGTTGGTGGGACAGAGGAAACAAGATGACCAAGGTTTTTAGCTGAAGAAGAAGAGTGAAGGTAGCATTTACTGAGCTGGAGAGGCCTCAAAAGGAGTGTGTTCGGAAGTGTAGATCAGGAACTCAGTTTTGTATACATCTGAGTAATGAACTGGTGGGATTCTGATTAGCAAGTTTCCCCCATGGAGAAATAATCTTTTTAGCTCATTTTACTAATAATGGTTTCAGACTCAGATGGTGTGGATAGAATCAGACTTACATCTTCCATTAATGTAATTGTGAAGATGTGTGTGCATTCTGTTAATAATAACTTGCTAAAACTAGTTGCATTTTGGAGAAAAAACATTTTTAAATATCTTCTAGTATTGCTTTGAGGATCCAGTTTAAGTAGAACATACAAAGGGAAGATCACAATGTCTGGCACATAGTAGTTGTTCAATAAAAGTTTGTTTCTGTCCCATCTTTAAAGAGTGTTAAAAACCTTATTTTTTAGGAAAAAGCAAAAGTATGAGTGAGGATACATTGAATCTTACTTTAACTTAGCAGGACTTGGCTAAGAGTGGCCAACTCTGTTTTGTCTTCTTTTGTTCAGTTCTTTGCATGGTCTTCTATTCCTGTGCCTCACCATGGGGTTACACCCTTAAAACACACTGGCCTTTGCATGATGTGTGTGCTGGCTTGCCAGCCACAAGGCCCGAAGCTCTTTGAGTCCACTGCAGTACAGCCCCTTGACCTGCTCTTGAACGTAGTCATCCTGTGAGATGCCAGCTGTCATGACCACACAGTATTCCCACCCTTCCTCTGCACTCTGGCAAGGCTTTGCTGGAACATCCCCATGCCCACGTCTTTCCCCAGTAACTCACTAAAGCCACTCTTGACTCAGGCAGGTGCCCTTCATTGATCACAGAATCTACCTTTGATTTCATCAGGCCAGATTCACAAACAGAATGGGAGTGCTTTATCTAAACCTTTGGGAGGCTGTAGAGTGAAATAATTGGAAACACTGGGGTTTATTACAGCTTAATTTCATCAATGTTTAGTGGCTTTACCAAAGATGGTTAGGGAAAGGGAAGGGAGATTCATCTTATTCAGGCAGTGATTTGCTCAGAATTTTACAAGCCATACCCTATACAGACCTGTTTGAATTCCGTGGGTTTCTCGAACCAGTGTTGGAGTAACTTCGCAGAACAGACCAGGCCAGTTAGGTACAGTTTCAAGAGTTAACAGGAAGCAGCAGCTCATGTCTTCCCTAAGATGACATTCTCTGCCCAAAAACACTTCTATGAAAAGTACACGATAAACAACTCCAAGAACAGTTTAAGTTACCCACAGAAATACAATACTTCTTTCTAGAATTTTATAAACTGTTCATGTTTATCCCTTGCCATATAGCAATTACTATTAGTGCTGTACTTAATTATTTGTTTATCTTGATTTCTAATTGTTAATGCTTCTTCCCAATATTGTGTGACATTTGTGAATTAATAAAAATCACTTAACCATGAATTGGTGAGCAGTTCATGTTTGTGTTTTTGCTTAATTACTCAAAGTTGGTTGTAAGTTCTGGGGGCAGGGGGCACATTTTCAGGGGTAGATGATTTGGGGTCTTTTCGTGAGTGGGGAGTTACTGACTCAAATCACATTTAGTGCTATTGGACAGTGCTTTTCTTAGTGTGGGCAGGAAGTCCAAGAATTTAAAATGAAATGGATATATTTAAACCTGACCTTTTGAGTGGCACACTGGTAATCCCTGGGGATTGCAGGGTTACCCTGCAGGCTGGTACACAGAAAGTTTTTGTGTTTCATGTGTGCCATTACTTGTGTCTTTCCTTTTGTAAACATTTAATTGGAGGTGATGGTTAAAATCATTTAAATGGAGTAACTGAGCTCTGGTTCTATTTTCTGGCGATGTGGGTAGAGAGGAGGGGGATAACCAGGAGGGAGCAGCCTGGCCCGAGGGAAGGAAGGGTGCCCTTGAGGCATTGGGTGGGTTTGGCAGCTTAACTGTGACTTTTGTTTTTTCTGTTACACGTTCAGAAAAAAACTAAATGTGATTTTTCCATTAAAATGCTGATACAAATGTCCAAAACCTTTCTATGTTAAATAGTCTTTTACATTTTTATGCATATAGGTTACAACCTGCCATATTCATTCATCCAGTGATGATGAAATTGACTTTAAAGAAACGGGTTTCTCACAGGATTCTTCTTTGCAGCAAGTGAGTCACGCCTAAAGCTTTGCTTTTTGTTTTTATTTTAAATACTTAGTTAGTTGCCTTTTATGAATCAGCTTCAGAGTCAGATTATGTATTAGAATGTGATTTGCGGTTACTTATTAGTTGGGCCAAAGCATGTAAAATAGGAAGTGTTGGGTACATGAGAGGTAGGTTTACGTTGATTATGTTTCGAGGGATTGTTCATACCTGATAATAGTGATGCGTCAGGTACATTTTCAGAAGATTTGAATGAACTGAATAGTTCAGAAGGCCTCTCACACGAGCTTGTTACGCAGACTTTTACAATAGGTGAGCTGTTGCTCAAAGACTTGTGTAGTAGAGGTCTGCAGGTAAGAATAATAGAAATAAGACATTTAAAATATAAGTAAAAGCAAACTCTCACCAATACCCCTGATATGAGTTCCATTATAGTTACATCTAAAGTAAATTTTCAGTTGAAGTAATTCAGTGCAACCCCTATCTGCCTGCCCCTGAATGTATCGTCTCCATTTATCTCCAGCCTCTAATCTTTGTGAGGGAAAGCCTGGATGTGAATATTAAATGTACTGATTTATCATCCCATTGTTGGTTCTTGGAGAAGTGACAAATGATTTCACTTTTCTACTAGGTATGAGAACTAAAAGTAGAAGCCCTTTTGCAGGCCGTCAGCTTTGGTGTAGCAGTGGAATTAACGAGGACAACTTCCCCAGCCCAGCACTGAATGTTGATTGACTTCTTTTTTTTTTTAGTCTCTAAGCCTGTGTTAGATGAAGCTTCACATGCTTATGCTGGCCCTGTCTTTTGGCTTCCAAGTCTTAATACACCTGTCATATTCCAGTATTGGTTGAGCTAAGCAATTGTTTGGTTTTAATATTAAGGCAGTTTAGCATTCATCTTTCCCAGATAGGTCTGAAGTAGCATTTCAGCACTTAACTGGCTTCTCTGTTGAGTCTTGATACTTCTGCCTTTTGGCAGCCAATTCCAGAGGTTAGGGCCAGGAAGTAGCCAGTCCATAGGGGGCACTGTCGAGCGGCAGTGCCTTCCAGAGCAGCCCTCATAGCCTCCTGCCTGATCTTGCTGTTGGGCTGCACCATGGCTCATTGTGAGCCTCATGCCTACAAGCAGCCCTTTACCCAGAGCGCTCTGGTGTTGCCTCAGGAAGCACCTTGACAATGGGCTTTCCCTCCACTGAAGCACCTGTAGAGTACTGAAATAGTCCACCCAGTTAGCCATGAACCTGCGTGTTGTCCATTGGTCCACCCCTAGAATGAAGCTTGATGATATCAAATGTAAATTATCAAGGTAATTTTGCGCCAATTGAAATACAGCTTTAAGAAAAAAATACCCTAATAGTAATAATCATAATAAACTTGGAAATTTGGGCTATCGATTTGATCTAAATTTGATTAAATTTAGACATTTGGAAAGTGGAGTCCTTTATTTCTCAACTGTATCTGGATCCAGGGTCATACCCGTTCTGGGGAGAATTTTCTTACATTATTTTGTTTGTTTGACTGACAGCTCATGCTTACGAAGCAGTTTCATTCAGAAAACTGACTTACCAACCGCCTTCACCAAGCTTAGTCTTGCAGAATTTACCCACTTCATATGAACCTTTCAAAGTAGGAAGAATAATTATTCTTTTTTGATTTACAGTCTTCCAGTACATTTTTCTTTATGTTTCTTTAAACCAATCATGCATTCTTTTGAAAATAAATATTCTCCAAAGCACTTCTTAAAATTTTGAGAATGCAAAAAAGCCTAGGTTAATTTATTAGAGTTTCGTCATAGCCTCCACTAAGATCAGAATATTAGTTTGTAGACTTGAAGTTCTCATTCACGTTTGAAGTTGGGCATCATGTTGATAAAGTCCCCGAATGGAGAGAACTTGGGACAGATCATTTAACCAGGTAACCGAGCCTCGTCACCAGTGGGGCGTGCCTCCAGGCATTTGTGCCCTGACTATTTGTTTCTGTCTTTAGCCTCGTCTGTTCTCCTAAAGTCTAGTGTTTGACTCTCCATCTCCCTAATTCTGCCTTAGAGGTTTGGAGGGTGAGGCCCCCATGGAGTATCTGGAGAATTCAGACTGACTGCTGCATATGGGCTCCAAAGCACTGATCTCACTGTCTCCCACCACCTCACATCACATGCAGGCTTGCTGATAGGCAGTCAGGCCACATTTAGATGACCAGTAGCTCTGTTGCCTGTGTGGCATTACTGTTAAGAGATTTGCTTAATAAAGTGGCTGGTTCACTTCTCAGTGACTTGAACAGTATCTGACTTTGGCCAGGATGACAGTACTGGGAAAGTGTGCTTTTTAAAAATAATTATACAGCCATGTGGTGCTTTCCAGATTTAGATTTTCAGAGTTCAAAGCACTTTTTATATACCTTTAAATAGAATACAATAACAGTCTTCACTTACATATGTTTGTAAGCTTTGGTAGCTTTACTAGTAAAAATGAGATTTGAAATGTGAAGTTCTTTGTTAGAAGCTGTAATAGACTTAGAGCTAATAAGGATTACGTTTGATCATTTTTCTTTTTTCTGTGCATTATTGCATGGAAGTTACTAGTGTCTGTCAGTTGCTATATGTCTCTCCAAATGGATGAATAGATAAATATATGTCTGTATATCTATATATTCTATATGTACATGTATTTGTGTGTACATTCGTATTTGCATTTTATTTTTCAAACATTTAAAATATAGCAACACTTTGGGGAATGTTTCTTCCCTTTTACACCCAGGCGAATCACATTAGGATCACTAGAGGTAAAAAATTTTGAGGGAACTGACTGTGATGGCATGCACCTGTAGTCTGGCTATTCTGGAGGCTGAGGTAGGAGGATTGCTTGAGTCTAGGAGCTTGAGTCCAACCTGGGCAACATAGGACCCTGTCTCTTAAAAAACTTTTTTTTTTTTTTAGGGGGGAAAAAATTGGGAGGGACCTTTTCCTTCGCATGACCAAATTTCTGATCTGTAGATAAACTCCGAGAATGGTTCATGCTGCTTACCCAACAGAATAACGTCATGGTTCTTTACCAGATCTTTGAAGTACTGAGCATCTGTTTTGTCTCATAAAAGATAAAGCTGCAATTCAGAGGAGCTGATTTCTTTTTGATGTCATGAATATTAATGCTGGCTGTCATACTGTTCATTCATAGGGTCCAGAACTCAGCCCAGCAACCCAGGACTTGTCCCTACCATTTGCTTTCAGCCAGAGCCCCATTCTCAGCCTTGGCTCGTACTCCATGCCTTACTAAGCGGCCATTCCACAGCCAGCCGCTTGCTGCCCCCACCCCCTTGTGCTCATCTAATATCACCTCTGGGGGCAAGAAAGGGGACAGCATGGAGGTGGGAGAGTGCAGAGGGGCAGTGGGTGTGCCATTGTCTTGGATGAGAGACAAGGGAGGTTTTGGGTTCTCTCTGTCTGGTCAAACTAGACACATAGAGCTTTTTTTCCAGACCGAAGCAGTAGAGATACCTTCCAAAGCCTAATACAAGGTTTATTTTTTAATTATCTGCAATAATTATCCATGCCATAATTCCCTGCCACCAGAATGAGTAATCAGGAATTACTGGTAGAGACATTTCTGCAGTGTATGTCTGTAAGCTGGAATCGGTAGGCTCTGCCTGTATGTGGGACCAAGGAGAAGGTGGTTTAACTCAGTTATAGCTGCCTCCTTCCCAGCAAGTGCCAGCAGGAGTGATGCCTTCAGTTTTGCCGCCCCTCCACCTTATGGGCTCACCCGTAGAAAACAGCAGTCTCATCTGTATACAGCTCTGGTCACCTTATTTATTGTTTGGGTTAGAATGAGGAAGTGGCACTAGTTTATCTTCATATATTCTTTACTCCTTCTGATTAATACATAGGAACATACTTGCTGATTTTACTTGCTTCCTTGGGCCTGCTTGTTTTAAATTAGAATATTAACATTTTCCTGGGATTCATTGTAACATCACCCCCATTTTTCAACTAAAAACCCAAGCAAATCTGGTTCTCTCTAGTTTTGGCATAAGGAAACAGAACTGGCTCCTCTGTGGGTCTTGTAGTGTTAAGAGACTTTTCAGAGTGATTATGGATAAATATTAAACGTTTGTCCTCTTAAGGTAGGTAGGGTGGAAATTATTTTCATTTTATATTCTTTCCAGCCTCTGACACTTAAATTTTTTTTAAAGAAATGAAATGTCCCTGAACATTTTGTTTGTAGGATTATGCTTGTGTTCATCAGTCATTTTTCCTCTGGTGTGATTTCACTGTAGTAGATTGGGGGTGGAGGAGGGGGTAAGGAGGGAGGAGGTGGTCACCAATTGTTGGATCTTAGGATAAAGTTGGTTGTGTCCAGAGGTGACTGATACACCTTATAATTTCAGACTGTTCCATGTCATGTGATCACTTCAAACTAGGCCTAATCCAAACCTCTCTCTAAAGATAATTCACAGTAGAGGACAGAGTGGTCACATAATGTTTATCACAGTGACATGTGCATTAGAATGATTTGTAGACCAAATTTCAAACGTTAACTTTCTTGGCAAATTGTGTCTGAAATTATTTGATTTTTCTTTTAGAAAAACACACCAATTTTTAAAGCCCTATGGCTATGTAAATAAGATGATTTCTGGAACACAAATGGGCATATAGTATGTAGAATATCATTAGAATCATTATATCACTGTCACTGGTCCTGGGGTTGCCAGGCCTTTTCTGATTATCAGATGCAACAAATGACGTCCAATTTTATTGACCAGTTTGGCTTCAACGATGAGAAGTTTGCAGATCAAGATGACATTGGCAAGTGAGTATGTTTGCCTGTTTCCACTCTTGCTCTTGCACACTCTTTGCTCTTGGTAGACGTGTGTGTCATTCTGTGGGATTCTTAATCTTGGGCATTCATGAGTGGGAGGAATCTGCTCTCTTCTTGTTGGTCTTCTAGTTCCAGCAGATACTGGATAATTAGAACTTAAAATAACACTCCAGTGGCTGGGTGTGGTGACTCACACATGTAATCTCAGCACTTTGGGAGGCTTAGGCAGGCAGATCACTTAAGGTCAGGAGTTCGAGACCAGCCTAGCCACACCCCATCCCTACCAAAAATATAAAAAATTAGCCGGTTGTGGTGGTAGGCACCTGTAATCCCAGCTACTCGGGAGGCTGAGCTCAGCTGGAGAATTGTTTGAACCCACGAGGCAGAGGTTGTAGTGAGCCAAGATATTGTGCTACTGTACTGCACCCGTGGCAACAGAGCAAGACTCGGTCTTTTAAAAAGTAATAATAATAATAACTCCAAGGGAAGAAGCATTCACCTTTAGGGTTAGACCTGTTTCACAGAAGCCTATATTAAATTGTGCTTTTAAGAATTCAAGTCACTGTTCTTAATTCTAGCTATTAATATTAAATAGTATTATCTAAAGTCATTAATCATGGCCAGGCATCATTAATTCCAGCCAGACGCAGTGGCTCATACCTGTAATACCAGCATTTTGTGAGGCCGTGGTGGATGGATCACTTGAGGTCAGGAGTTCGAGACCAGCCTGGCCAATGTGGCAAAACCCCGTCTCTACTAAAAATACAAAAACAATAGCCAGGCTTCATGGTGTGTGCTTGTGGTCGGAGCTTCTGAGGAGGCTGAGGTTGGAGAATCACTTGAACTTGGGAGGCGGAGGTTGCAGTGAGCCAGGATCGTGCCACTGTACTCCACCATGGGCAACACGGGAAGATCCTGTCTCAATAACAGTAACAACAACAATAATAATAAAGTTATGAATCCCTATGCTGTTAGTTAACTGGGGCATCACGTTCCAGCAGGTGACCAAATTGGCAGGAAGAGCTCTGCCCTGTGTGTGTATTCTCGTCTTTAAGCAGCTCATCATAAGGTAGATTTGGGTTTTTTGCAAGAACCAGACACCAAGCACTCATTCTGCCATCAGGGTAAGAAGCACAGAAATGAGAATTGATACTGTACAGAATTAATGAATAGAAAATGTGTAGGTGCTTAACAGAAATGAAAATAAGTGGTCTAGCATCTGACCTTGGGATAGAAGAGATTTATAAACAAGATATTTTGAGATAGATACTATTGCTCATTGACAACAGAGTTTAAGAAAAAAAAAACGAAGGCAGCTGGTATTTGAATATTGGATGATTACTCTCACAGGAGACATGATTACGCCATAGACAGCCCATGTCTGCTGTGGTCTTTGGAAGCAGTAAATCCTCAATAATTTGTTGAACCACAGCCAGTGGAGGCTGTTGTTTATCACAAATTGCAGTTTGCAGTTTGTGAGAAGCCAAAATATTTTTACAGCACGTTTTTGAATGTGCCATCAACATGCCGTATGGGCACAATGGAATGGAGATGTCTCTGTAAACAGCAGGAGTTGAAGCTGTTATCTGCCTTGAGAATTGGCTCATTTTAACCCAGAAAGAGTAAGAACACAGGGTGTTCTGTCCATACCCCAGGAGCATTCTACCTAGGCTAGGATCAACCACCTCTCACCAGACCCTGCAGGTCCCTGTTTGATGTCTCGACAGTTACGTGCCTGAACTCACTTTGCCTTACTAGTTAGGAATCCATAATTTCTTTACAGTCTGTTTTGGGTGCTTGGACTAATGATTGTGTAGAACAGATCTTTTAAGAATCATATGATAGCCCCTCCTCCTCAAAATTACGTTTAATAGGCAATGAATTATTTTACTCCCTGCTTGCTTTCTAGATGATACCTTGTTACAGTGTAAGATTTCATGGGTGTCTGTATTTTGTGTATCACTTTGACTATCTGTGGAGAAAGCTGTGTCGGATAGCTTTTGTATACTTCATGTTTTGGCTTGGTTCTTTGCAAATAACCTTTTTCTTGGTTATGTTAGTATGGCCCATGGAACCATGGTTGTTGCCATGGATGTTAAAAACCGTTTATAGGAAGGATTTGAGGGTGTCCCAAAGGCTTTATGTCTCAAAAGGCTTCCATCCCAGCCCTCCTGTCCTACATAAATTTCTTAATACCAAAGGAGGTGGCATCATTTAATATAAGAAGGTCGTTTCCATTTGTTTTTTATTTATAGAGATTTTGATGATAGTGTAAATATTTTAAATTTGGAAATTTACATAAATACGGTTTCTATGAGCCGATAGGTAATTAATGCTTCCTACACTTCTATTTTTTTTTTAACAGTGTTTCTTTTGATCGAGTATCAGACATCAACTTTACTCTCAATACAAATGAAAGTGTAAGTATAAACTCTCTGTTGTGAGCGGTGTGGCACATGAGAGGTTGAAAAATGGGTGAGTCCATGTGTGGCTGCCACATGCTGGGACCCCTGTGCTCTAGAGCCCAAATCCTCAATTGGTGTTGCATACTTCACTCACTCCCATGACCTGCCTGGCACCCGTGGGCGTGTGATTTTGCAGCCCTAGTTTGTGACAGGATGAGGCTAATAAAACCAGGGTCACTTATGATTGCAGTGTAGACATTTGACTTCAAAGAGAAGGCTGTAGTTTGACACCACCCACTGCCTTTGACTCCTTTGTATTGCCAGGAGAGAAATGTGGACTGGGTCAGGGCAAGCCTCTCATTACCGTGGAAACACCAGAACAGTCATGTCATCTGAATGGGCACAGTTTTGATTTTATATTGACTAGCATGAGAGACCACTGGCTTATTTGCTGATGGAGTAAGGTAGGAACTGCTGATTTGAGCCATTGAAGGTCATCACTGCTCAGCTGGACTAGTAAAAGCAGATGAATCGCTTTTCCTGCTAGGACCTGGGACTGCATCCCCAGGACAGGGGAGGCTCCTGGGGTTACAGTGAAGCTTTGATGAGATGAACGAGGTTATGGTCTGTGCTGCTTTTTGAGTCTTTTTTTAGGGGAATTCTTGTAATGGACACAGAAACGACATTAGGTATTTATATTTTATTTTGGTGTATGTGATAGGAACCATTTTGTAAAGCAGTGAAGAAATGCAATTTACATTGGTAATATTTGGGAGAAGATAACTTGATTTTAAATTTGTCTTGTTTTTTTCTCTCATTTTTATTTAGGGAAATATTGCCTTGTTTGAAGCATGTTGTAAGGAAAGAATACAACAGTTTGATGATGGTGGCTCTGATGAGGAAGATATATGGGAGGAAAAGCACATTGCATTCACACCAGAATCCCAAAGGCGATCCAGGTGAAAGATAGTTGGTTATAGTTGTAATTATAGCCAACCTATAAAGAAAATGATGATCATGAGACATACATTGTATCCTTTTACTTCTGATCATGACAGAAGCAGTAGTTTCTGGGTTAAAGCTTCTGTCATGGTCAGAAATGCCCTTGGTGTGGGAGTTGGTGCTTCGAGTGTGACAGTGATCTGCTTGCAAATGCTGCAGGTGTTTAGACACGGTTCCTGACATGCTGTGACCCCGCGTCGTCCGCAGGGGAAACATTGCAGACAAGCACAGACACGTAGTGCCTTTTCCTAAATAAATATACCCTTGCCAGCAATTACAGCAGCGCTTGAGTTATATGTTGTTTCTTGTAAAAGATGGAAGATTTCCCAAAGGAAAAGGAAACTGCTTCTAAAAGTTAAATCTGTTGGAAGAAGGTAGGGCCGTGTCAGTTGGTAACCTGTGTCAATCCAGTCCTTTTGTTTTTTGATCGTCCTTATTACAGGAACCGAAACAAATGACGCTTCTGTACGCAGACCGACACGGTTATATGAGTATTCGTTATCAGAATCTTCTTAGTTAAGAAAGGAATATTTGAACAGCAGCTCAACTTTCATTTTTATTTGATTTATTGTTACTCATTTTATTCATTTACTGACAATAAGTAATGTTTTCACATGGCGTAAAATTAAAAGGGAATCAGAGAGCATGCAATGAAAGGTAAACTCTCATCCCTTCTCCCAGCCGTCCAGTCCTCTTGCCAGGGAGTCCCTCAGCAGCACCTCTTGCTGCCAGTTAGGTCACCTCTTGTAGGAATGCTCGTTGCCACAGGTTATAGCAGACTCGGCAGTGGCTTGAGCAAGTGAAGCTGCATTTGTCTCAACAGTCTAGAGCTGATAAGGGGGCTGAATGAGACTGTTAGACCTGGCATCTTCCATTTATTCCTGCGCTCATCTTGTGCCTGTTGATTTATCTCTCATGATCACAAGATAGCTCTGTAGCTTCAGAGCCAGACAGCAAAAGAAAAATAACTTCATGGCATTTTTTGTTTGCCATCATTTACTGAGATTATGGTTCTTAGGTTGAATGGATTCACTAAGTAGCCCTTACCCACAGCATGACTAATATATGTGAGGGCAGTATATCCTCACAGAGCACCATGTGTGGAAGGTACAGAGAATTCAGTGTGTCAGGGAAGACTGTGTCCTGGGGGAGACGGCACCTGATACCCAGAGGGAACACTGATGACAGGAGGCAGCTTTTTATTATTTAACCACTCTGTGGAGGAATACTTGGCATTTAGTAAACTGCCTTTATTTAAATTGTACCATGTGGAAATTTCAACCTGTGCATACGTCCATGAAACCATCATCTCAATCAACATCATAAACTTACCCATCACCCCAAAAGTCTTCTCATGCTCTTTTGTCATACCTTCCTCCTTCCTGTCCCCCCAACCATCTGGTTTCTTTTTCCATTAGTTTGCATTTTCTAGAGTTTTATATAAATGAAATCAATACATTGTACTTTTTTTTTTGTCTCTACCTTCTTTCACTCATCATAATATGAGAGCCATCCATGTTGTCTAATGTGTTAATAGTCCATTTCTATTTTTTTGGCGGGGGAGAGGGGTGCTAGGTAGTATTCCATTAAGAGGATATACTACAATTTTCCTATTGATGGATATTTTGGTTGTTTCTGGTTTGAGGCTGTAATGTCACTTGAAGATAGACTATGATGTTAAAGGTGTATAGTGTAAACCCTAAAGAAGTCACTAAAATAACAAAGAGTTATCAGTCAACAAAGGAAATAATATCAAATCATAAAATCCAAAAGAAAGCGGGAAAAGAACAAAGGGCAGCCTGGACAAACTACTGAGCATCAGGATGATAGAGTTAGTCCTGAATAGCCATGTAAAACAAACAGTGCAGACACCTCATGTAAAAGACAGATTGGCTGGGGACAGTGTCTCACACCTACAATCCCAGCACATTGGACGTCCGAGGCACGTGGGTTGCTTGAGCCCAGGAGTTTGAGACCAGCCTAGGCAACATGGCAAAACCCCATCTCTACAAAAAATACAAAAATTAGCTGGGCGTGGTGGTGTGTGCCTGCTGCGTGGTGAAGCAGGAGGATTGCTGGGAAGTCAAGGCTACAGTGAGCTGTGATCAAGCGACCGCACTCCTGCCTGGATGAGAGAGCGAGACCCTGCCATTAAAAAAAAGAAAAGATGGGCCGGGCGCGGTGGCTCAAGCCTGTAATCCCAGCACTTTGGGAGGCCGAGGCGGGTGGATCACGAGGTCAAGAGATCGAGACCATCCTGGTCAACACAGTGAAACCCCGTCTCTACTAAAAATACAAAACATTAGCTGGGCATGGTGGTGCGTGCCTGTAATCCCAGCTACGCAGGAAGCTGAGGCAGGAGAATTGCCTGAGCCCGGGAGGCGGAGGTTGCGGTGAGCCAAGATCGCGCCATTGCACTCCAGCCTGGGTAACGAGAGCGAAACTCCGTCCCAAAAAAAAAAAAAAAAAAGAAAAGAAAAGAAAAGATGGTCACATTGATTGGATAAAAAATGAGTCCTTAATTACATGCTGCCTATGGGAAACAATTTAAATACAAAGAAACAAGTACTGCATAAAAACACAAAAAGGAAAAAGATATGTCAGCACTAAGGAAAAAAAAGCCAGGTGGTCTTTATTAATCTCCAAGTAGATTTCAAAGGAAAGGGATAAAGGAAGTGATATGATGATAAAGGGGTCAATTCATTAAGAGGACATAGCAGTTTTAAATGTCTGCACAACCTAACAGAGCTTCAGGATACACAGAGGAAAACTGGTAGAGCTGCAAAGGCAGTAGACCAGTCCACAATTATAGCCAGATCTTTTAACACTCCTCTCTCGGTAATGGATGAAACGGTAGGTGGGATCAGTAAGGTTATGGAACACTTCAACAACACTAGCAACTAACCGTTCTACTTGCACAATTATAAAGAACTCTACCCAACAGTTACAGAATATAGTATATTCAAGTGTGTGAAATATTTACCGAGATAGACCAGAAAGCAAGTCTCAGATTTCAAAGGGTTCAAGTCATTTTCTGACCAAAATGGAATGAAATTAGTAGTCAGTAACAAAGACTTTTGGTTAAATCCAGTTTTTATTTTATTTATTTATTTATTTATTTTATTTATTTATTTTTTTTGAGACGGAGTCTTGCTCTGGAATGCAGTGGTGCAATCTTGGCTCACTGCAACCTCCACCTACTAGGTTCAAGTGATTCTCCTCCCTCAGCATCCTGAGTAGCTGAGGTTATAGGTGCCTGCCACCAGAACTGGCTAATTTTTGTATGTTTAGTAGAGACAGGGTTTTGCCATGTTGGCCAGGCTGGTCTCGAACTCCTGACCTCAGGTGATATGCTTGTTTCAGCCTCCCAGAGTGCTGAGATTACAGGTGTGAGCCACTGCACCTGGCCATAAAAGGATAATTTTAGTAACCTGAATGTCATCAGAATTTAAAATTTTCACTCTTCAAATGACACTTTTATGAGAATGAAATGACAAACCATGCACTGGGAGAAAACATTTGCAAATGACATATTAGGTAAAAGACTTGTGTGTAGAGTTAAGAAATCTCTTTATTCAGTTAAAAATAATTCAGTTTTTTAAAAAGCACAAAAGTGTGAAAAGACAAGAAGATATGAGATGGCAAATAAACATTTAAAAAGATTCTCAACCTTCTTGGTCATTAGGAAAGTGCAAATGAACACCACAGTGAAATGAACACATATACCCCTGCGAGAAGGCAGTTCTTAAGATTGTGGCCTCCACTTTAAGCAGAGCCCACGTGCTCCAGCGGTGGAGGTTTAAGTGTGAAGTTGGTGAGCATGCACGAAAAGCTGTCTTTGAGCCTCCTAACCACGTGGCGCTCGGACACGTGATCCTGCTGAAGCACCACAGGATCTCTCGTTGCTGGATGACTATTAGAATTTTCTGGATTTAGCTGGTGGCTGATAAGCAGCATTAAATACTTTGGTCTTTTTCCCCTCTTAGCTCAGGGAGTACAGACAGTGAGGAAAGTACAGACTCTGAAGAAGAAGATGGAGCAAAGCAAGACTTGTTTGAATCCAGTAGTGCCAACACAGAAGACAAAATGGAGGTGGACCTGAGTGAACGTAAGTGGTTTCATTCTTCAGATCAGCTGCCCTGTGTTGGAATTAGGTATTGTGAACAATTGGCAAAGGAGCAGTTGACAGCATCTGAGGTGATTTCTGAAGGAATGGTGGAGTTGAAGCCTGTTGTCAAGTGAGCTCCTCTTGGAGGTTTAAGTTTCAAAGATAGCCTCGGGGAAGAAGCACAGAATGCATTTGCTGATAAGGTACCTCCTCTTCCTGGTGGGAAATGAACGGCAGGTGTGTGGGTCTGGCTGGAGGACAGAGCCTGCTGCTAGGTCAGTCTCCCAGCTGTGGAGCCCATGTGCTGTTGCAGAAGGAAAAGACCCCACCTTGGTGGGAAGAGGAGGACATGGTTGTGTCATGTAGCATCGTGATTGGAATCAGCCAGGGGAAGCAGCCTTAGCTTAACCAGCGTTTCAGTACGTTCTTAGTAGTTTATTTCAGAAGCTCACATCCCTGAAACTTGTCCAGCTGAGTGCTTGCTTGTGCCCTGCCCTGTGCTAGGAAGACTAGAGTTTTAGCTGGTCATTTTAAAATGCTTTTAAAACTTTTAAAGATTTGGGAAGCAGACGTCCATTTGAAGGAGCCGTGTGGGATAATAGCAAGGCTTGCCCCAAGCCTGGCCAATCTCCGATTGCCCCTCAAGGCCTTTTTTGTGTTAACGTCCCAGAGGCTGAAGCTCAGCTGAGGTGGACCTTGTGGGGACTTCAGAGCTAGATGGGACAGGAGCAGTCATCCAGCATACTGCCACAGGTTGCACATAATGAAACTGGAGATGGAAGAAGAAAAGAGATCTTATCTCTGCTGCCTCTTTTCCAGCCCACCCTCCTCAGGAGGAGGAAGTGGACTTTTCTCTCCGTAATTCAGTTTAAATCAGCATGCCTTCTTTAAGTTCCTACTGTATGCCGGGTACTAGTGGCCACAGACTGCCTCTAGGGGCTTGGGGTCTGCTGGGGAAACAGATGGGCAGTACACGGGGCTGGGGACGGATGCTAGAAGAGGGGAGCCCTCCAGTAGGCATCTTTGTAGAGGCAGGCAGGTGTGAGGCTGAAGGACAAGTAGGGATTTGCCCATGTGAGAGAGAAAACAATTGTTTTTCGTGGCTCGGGGATGAGGTGGCGGAAGCTAAGGCCAGAGGCCAGATCAAGAGTTGTATTCTGAAGGTTGTAGGAAGCCTGTGAGGATTTGACTAAGAAGATCATTATTGGGTCTGTTTCAAGACATCACTCATGGCAGCAGTGTTAAAAACGGGATGAGAAAACATATGGCAGAGACAGGAGAACCATGAAGTCATTTAACTGTTAAACATAAGAGTATAATGAGAAATAATGAAAACTGTGAGTTGGGCTCCAGGCAGCAGGGAGTCGTGAGGGGGAGGCAGGGAAGATGCCCTGATCTCTTGGCTCTGGAATCTGTAGGGTTTTTTTCTTTTTAAACATACAGTTTGATGCTGGGTGCAGTGGCTCACACCTGTAATCCCAGCACTTAAGGGAGGCCGAGACAGGTCGATCACTTGAAGCCAGGTGTTCCAGACCAGCCTGGCCAATATGGTGAAACCTTGTCTCTACTAAAAAAAAAAAAAAGTTAGCTGGACATGGTAGCGCACACCTGTAGTCCCAGCTACTCGGGAGGCTGAGGCAGGAGAATCGCTTGAACCCGGGAGGCGGAGGTTACAGTGAATCGAGATCATGCCACTGCACTCCAGCCTGGGCAACAGAGCAAGACTCCATCTGGGGGGGGAAAAAGTACAGTTGAGTAGTATATTCACACTGTTGTGCAACAGACCTCTAGAACTTTTTCATCCCCAATTGAAACTCTGTACCCATTAAACAGTTCCCCATTTCCACTTCCCCAGTCCTAGCAGCCTCCATTCTACTCTGTTTCTATGGGGCTGACTAGTCTAGGGATCTCATATAAAAGGAATCATACAGTGTTTGTCTTTGTGACTGACTTGTTTCACTTAGCATAGTGTCTTCAGAGTTCATCCCTGCTGTGGTATATACAGGATTTCCTTCTGTTTTAAGGCTGAATGACATTCTGGAATCTTTGATTCTTTTAGGGGGCTGGGTATGGTTAAGTGACACAGAGGGAGACACACACTGGCTGGACTGTGTGCCACCGCTGGGACTGTGAGCCTGGGTGTGGGGATAAGGAGCTGGGGACACGAGCGCCCTGAATGATGTGTGTTTACCCAGCTCCCAGAGTTCAGTGTAGCAGGAAGCAGGCCTCCTGCTTCTCTGTTTCTCGTAAAAAGCTGCTTTTACATCATCAGATCTCTGGAGGCACAAGAGGGTAGAGTTGGGGATGATTCTCTGTCAGGGCTACAGGGCTACCTCAGAGAGCCTTTGCCACTTCACCAGTCTCTGTGGCTTCTTTCGGAGGTCCCCTCCCCTTCCCTCCCCACCTCTCCCCTCCTCCCCCCCCCCCCCCCCCTTCCCTTCCCTCCTCACATCCCCTTCCCTTCCCTCCTCACATCCCCTTCCCTCCCCACATCCCCCCTTTTTGAGACAGATTCTAGCTCTGTCGCCAGGCTGGAGTGCAGTGGCGTGATCTCGGCTCGCTGCAGCCTCTGCCTCCTGGGTTCAAGTGATTCCCCTGTCTCAGCCTCCTGAGTAGCTGGGACTACAAGCACATGCCACCATGCCTGGCTAATTTTTTGTATTTTGGTAGAGACAGGGTTTCACCATGTTGGCCAGGATGGTCTCAATCTACTGACCTTGTGACCTGTCCTCGGCCTCCCAAAGTGCTGGGATTACAGGTGTGAACCACCGCACCCAGCCCAGGTGAGATTTTCAAACATTCAAGCATTTACTCCTTCTTAGTGTCAGTAGAGCCCTGCGACACACACAGGTAGGTGGACAAGAAGCATGGAGTGCACCCTAATGGAGTGCACGCCCTCCTTTGATGTTTGCTAAGTGGATAGTTGTTATGAAATCAAACAGATGAAGTCAAATACCTTGCTCAAAGTCACAGTCAAGTCTGTCTTTAAAATCAGAACATTTGTATTCTACACAGGTACTTCTTAGTCACTTGTGTCTGGGATAAGCCCTTAAATAGCTTATACCAGGTTGCCTAGCATTCCTTCTTGCAACCCAGAGATTCCTAATGACGATAATATCTCTGATGGAATGCAGTGGTTCCCACATCCGGCTTGTCCCCAGCAACAAATTGAGGATTCAGCACTCTGTGAAGGAAAAGCATGGTGTGCAGTTAGAGCAGAATCACAGAGACCTGACTTCATCAGAAGGGACACGTGTCTGAGGAGGTGACATTTAAAGAGAGACCTGCAGATTAGATCCAAACTTGGCCAGCAGGCAGCATGGTAAGAAGAGCCCCACAGATTGCAGGTGTGCCCAAGGAAGCCCTGCTGTTCCAGCCCCTGAGGCCAGACCTGAGTCTGCAGCACTTGGGAGACCCAACCACAGTGGTACTGCAGGGAGCCTGTGGAATGTGCCAAGTGAGCCAGCCCTGGAAGCATTAGGTTGTCCCTAGTTTATTGGAGTTGAATAACCAATGTATTCTTTTTTTAGAAAAATAATGTTTTTACTTTGAAATAATTTAGATTATAGAAATGTTGCCAAGATAGTAAGTTCCCATATATCCTTCACTTAGCTTCCCGCAGTATGAAAATAGCCGTGGTACATTTGTCAAAACTAAGAAATTAACATTAATCCCTCTTTGTGTATGTAGCGTTGAATCTCTGTGTAGTATTTCTTTTGAAATGGTTGTTGGAAATGGGCGGTTTGTAAATACTGGGGCGTTGTTAGAGTGCCCTCCAGGTGACTGTGCTCTGTCTGCTCCTGCCTTCCTTCTCCTACAGCTCCGGTCTCTTTTGTCATTGCTGATGTTTTTTTTGAAAAATACTTGTGGTACATAAAATGACTGAAGTGTTTTTCAAATAAAATTTCTCCCCACTTTTTAGCACCCAACTGGTCAGCTAACTTTGATGTCCCAATGGAGACAACTCATGGTGCTCCATTGGACTCTGTGGGCTCTGACGTCTGGAGCACAGAGGAGCCGATGCCAACTAAAGAGACAGGCTGGGCTTCTTTTTCAGAGTTCACGTCTTCCCTGAGGTGAGCGAACATGTGCTGTCTCTACACCCTTCCACGGGGAACCTGGGAATGGTCAGGTGTTTGCTGTTAATGTGTGTTCTTCACCGTAACTTACTTGCAAGTTGAATATACGGTCCTGAGGAAGATTAACCATCAGCAAGGGGCGGGGGGGATATTGACACAGCTATGTATTGTAAGAAAAACACCATCTTCCTTTCCTTCCCTCCTGGATTAATTGGAAATGGGAATTGTTCTTGAACAAAGTAGCCTGGGAGGATGTGGTCCCAAGGAGTTAGCAGGATGAGGCAGAAGCGGGCAGTTCCATGGGCTTTTCTGGCTTCACAGAGCTGTCAGGACAGAATTGAGGAGAACATGAGTGAGGTGAAGCTGGGAAATCCTTGGGCACAGCACCTCTGTGTGGGGTGTGGCAGGAAACTGCAATATGTACCTTGAACTCAATAGGTAATATGAACTTACATTTCACTTGCAGCTAGTCCAGTGCTATCAGCTAAGGGCTCACACTCATTGGTAACTCGGAAGATAGGAAGACAAACCATTTTGGGCTGACAGTTACTGTCTTAGACACACCAAAGGATAGGCCGAAACCAGTGTTGCAGAGTCACTGTAATAGCAGCACTAAGTTACTACTCAGAGGTACAAGTGAGAGCTGTGAAAAGTGTCTCCAAACATGGAGTTATTTCATCTACCCCGCTTTTCAGTACAGGACATACATTTCCATCTCCTCCTCTTTGGGGTCTGTTGATAACTCGAGAATAAGAGCCTTTGGTTACTTGAGGGTGTGATTGAAGCAGCTTCCTTCTCTTTACCCTCTGTGAGCACGTACCTGGGTCTGTTGAGGGGTACTGCAACATGCGAGTGGGGGTAAAAGAAGTGTAATTATCTCCCTTCCCCCGGCTCTCAGGCATTTGGTGTTTTTTTACTATGTTTCCACAATTCCAACCACAGATATCATTAAGGAAGCCAGTCTCTCTCAGGCAGTGTGGCTCAAGATAAATCAAGGTTTTTGTAAAAGCAGTCAGCCTGGTAGATACAGTTGCTATTGTACACTGTGTATCTTTGCTGTCCAAGCTCTGAGAGCCTCCTGGTAATGGTGGGATGAGAGCTTGGGACATGATGAGCCTGTCTGGAATGCTCTGCGAAGCCCCTGTCTTACCCCTGCTGATTTAACAGAGCATTTGCCTGCCCACACTCATCTGCTCCTTTGAGCAGCTTCTGGACTTAGACCCGTGTGTCATTGGAGTCTGTAACCCAGTGACTCTTACACCGATGCTCATGTCTCCCAGCAGAAACTTGTAAAGGCTTACTGTGAATCATGGGGTAACTGAGGGCCATTCCCTGCTGCTAACGTCTGAATTTTCTCTTTTTTGAAAGCACAAAAGATTCTTTAAGGAGTAATTCTCCAGTGGAAATGGAAACCAGCACTGAACCCATGGACCCTCTGACTCTCAGTGCGGCTGCCCTGGCAGTGCAGCCAGAAGGTGCGTGCAGAGAGGCCTGAGCACACAGCAGGGCCATGTGGCTGCTTTGTCAAACTAGACGTGACTCTCAGGCTCAGGGGCTAGCGGAGTCAGGGTCGCGAGATGGTCAGTCTGATGTCCACAGGGCAGCTGATGAAAGAAATCCTGCCTGCCCTTCTAGAACCACAGCATGCTGACTCTGGAAGGAGTAAGGGCTGTAAGTCCCCAGGCATGCGACATGCAGATAGGACACTGAGGCCTAGAAGGAAGAATGCCTGAGCCCATAGCGCCCAGGGAATTAGACATGTGCAGCCAAGCCTGTGTGTAGTTGTCCCTTGGAGTTTGCTTTGCCCAAGCACGAGGGTGTATCTGGGTTTGTTTAGAGCTATGGGGCTGTTTATTTTCACTTCACCATTATAAGCATTGAATAGTCCTGGGATTGAATAGTCCTGAGAATCTCACTTGATCTTAGCCAAAAGGCCGAGAAGCGATAGTCCTGAGAATCTCTAAAGTTCAGCAGGTTTTCCTGTTACTCCACCTAGTCACGTGTTCCTTGCACTGGCCCTGAACTGTTTTCACCTTGATGGTCAGAGCTTTGGGAGGAGGGGAATGCTAGCAAAGGGAGTGTGATGGGAACCGAAAGGATGTGGAGGACACATGAGGAATCATGAGGTGGGAGCAGGAGTGAGTTCTTATAAAAAGAAATGAGATGCAGGTAGAGGGTCTAAGAACCCTCCTTCCCAGGGGCAAGGGGAAGGAGTAAAACCAGTAACTAATGCCAGTTTTGTCCTTTCCCTTTGTTACAGATTCCCGCATTTTATTCCTCAGTGGTTCTGTGAGTGGGTGCACTGATCCCCCATTTTCTGGATAAGGAAAGTCAGGCTATGGATGAGATTCCTCATCCAAGTAGTCACAGCTAGGAAGTGGTGATGTCGATGTTTGAATCCAGGAAGGCTCACCTCAGCCAGGGGCTTCCTATTAGATAACAAAGAAATGATCCATCAGCAACACCATAAGAAAGTAATTTTAAAAACAAAGAAAAGCAAATAGAGCCCAGCTGAGGAAAACGAGTGAGGGTGGAATGTGTCGCTGCCTGCTCTGCCCCAGACTGGAACAGTTAGGAGCACACGTGTCTGCTGGGAGAAGCTGGGTATGGAGGTGGATGCTAAGCTGGAAGGGATATAAGGGACTCACTAGTCTCTAGTGAAGAAAACCCATGAAACCCCTCTTCACTGGGCATCTTGAAGAAGCCTGTACCCATCAAGAATGTGGCCCAGGCAACGACAGGCAAACGCCATCTCACTGTTTTCTACAAGCAGTAGATGTCACGTTGGGTAGATGGGTTTGCACAGTAGGGGGTGCCAGTTCCTTTTCAGGCTTGCTGTGTGTGACTGTCAGCTGTTTCCTTTTCAGCGCCAGGCAGTGTGGCCATGGAAGCCAGCTCCGATGGAGAGGATGATGCAGAAAGTACAGACAAGGTAACTGAGACGGTGATGAATGGCGGCATGAAGGAAACACTCAGCCTCACTGTAGATGCCAAGACAGAGACTGCGGTCTTCAAAAGGTAACCAGGGGTGAGATCCTGCTGGCAGCTTCAGGTTGTTGGGAGGATGGTAGGGGAGAAACCTCAAACATTAAAATTTTTGATTTGATCCAAACGAATGTTCAGATATTAGCTTGATGTCTTTCTAGTGTCTCCATTAAACACAGTCAATCTTAATGAAGAGATGGAGGGTTTAGGCCCCTAAGTGCCCTTTCCCCCATATATGTGTGTTCAGAAGACTATATTTTAGTCTAGCAGTTGGACAGAACTATGAAAATGGATAAATCTTTAATCGCAGTAGAAATTGGCTTGTGTAGCAGCTACAGAGCATGGCCCATGAGAACCAGTTTCAGTAACATACAGATGATTGTCTCTGGACATAATGCAGTCATGAAAATTCAATAGCAAAATGATAGCTTTAAAAAAAAGTGACATTTGGAAATTAACCTCACTTTTAAACTCAAAAACGGAATTGTAATGGAAATTAAAAACCAAAAACTGAGAGAATAATGGGAAAAACATTTATCAAAACTTAAGGACTGCAGCTCAGCCTGTGCTTAGAACTTTAGTCCTCATTCCTACAGAGACCATGTCAGCCGTTACAAGAAGGAATACTTCCCAGCTTTCTGTGAGGCCACTACAAAACAAGGAGTGAAAGAAGAAGATTGATTGTAGGCTGATTTCATACATGAGCATTTATTCCCAAAACTTTTTTTTTCGTTTTGTTTTGAGACAGAGTCTCACTCTGTCACCTGGCTGGAGTGCAGTGGTGCAATTTTGGCTTACTGCAGCCTCCGCCTCCTGGGTTCAAGCAGTTCTCCTGCCTCAGCCTCCTGAGTAGCTGGGGCTACAGGTGCACACCACCATGCCCAGCTAATTTTTGTATTTTTAGTAGAGACGGGGTTTCACCATGTCGGCCAGGATGGTCTCAATCTCCTGACGTCGTGATCCATCTGCTTCAGCTTCCTTAAGTGCTGGGATTACAGGCATGAGCCACCGCCTTCTCAAAACTTTTAAGTTAAAAGCTAACAAACCAAATGTAGCAAAGTATTTTTAAGTCATGATGAAGGATATGTGCACCAGTGTGACACAATGTGTACATGGTAAAAATGATTGAAAGTAATTGACAGACAAAAGGAAAAAAGCATTTAAATAAAAAGTAAAGCTGTTGATGGTTTTCTTTGCAGCCTAGGAATAGAAAGTATGTAGGTGAAACTGGTAAGTATCTCTAGAAACTAGAGTAGACTTGATTCTGCACAGTGAGGCATTAGAAGTATTTCCTTTAAAGACAAGAACCAGAAAGTGGGGTCAGCAGTTGCTACTTGTCTTCAGCACTGTGCTGGTGGCCTTAGCAAATGCAGCATACCAAACACACACACACACACACACACACACACACACACACACACACACTCTAGATAAGAATTAATAGAAAACTTTAGCAGGTTTACTGGAGACATACAGAAATCACTTGCATCCTATAAACCAATAAAAGATATTCCATACACACCTGTTTGTTTTTAATAAAAATGTAAAACCTTATCTATAACTAGGAATATGACCTTTATGGGAAAATAATTTAAAGCCTCATTGATTTTCCATGTTTGTTAATGTAAATCTTTAGCATTTCAGAACAAGTTAGTCTATGAAAGTAATGAAATTCTCATCAAAATCCCAATAGAGATTTTCATGGAAATTGAGAAACTGAGTGTAATAGTCATAAAGAAGACCAAAGAGAGCCAGAAATAGCCAAAAATATTTTAAAGAAAAAATGTATGGGTTTTTATCATATTAGATAACAAGACTTAGTAAAGCTGTCCAGGTGTGGCATCTCGCAACGGTAATCCCAGCACTTTGGGAGGATTTGGTGGGCAGATCATTTGAGCCCAGGAGTTTGAGACCAGCCTAGGCAACATGGCAAAACCCTGTCTCTACAAAAAAAATACAAAAATTAGCTGATTTTGGTGCATGCCTGTTGTCCCAGCTACTTGAGGGGGCTGAGGTCGAGGCTGCAGTGAGCCGTGTTCCCCACTGCACTCCAGCATGGGGAACAAAATGAGACCCTGTCTCAAAAAAAAAAAGTACTAAGCTACAGAGACGGTGTGGCATTGCCAAAGAATTTTACAAAGAGGCCCCCTACTGCATGAACTTGATACATGTTAGAATGCCATTATAATTCAGTGAGGAAAGAATGGACTAGTAAATAGTGATTATCCACTTAGTAGAAAAATAAAATTAGATATTTTGTCTCACGTAAATATGAAAAGTATGAACTATACAGCTTTTAGAAGATCACAAAAGAGAATATCTTTACAGTTTGGGAGTAGGCATTTTTTAACCATAGAAAGCCAAACCATAAAGGAAAATATTGGTAAATTTGACTTTAATTTTTAATATCCAGAAGACATTAAATGAAAAGACAAGCCACAACCAGTAAAGAACCAGTAGCCAAGATACTAGAAAGAACCTAATATCAAGAAGAGATAGTCCAATTTTTGAAATGGGCAAACAATGCAGACAAGCAACTGTCTGTGGAGGAAAACAAGGAGTAAACCAAACCCAGAATAACCTGTCAGTTATTTCATGCTCATCAGTTTACTAATTCCTATCTTAAGTTGTTAGAGAAAATAGAAAAAGTACAAAACCTGCCTGGCTTATTTTATGAGGGTAGTAAATCTTAATTCCAAAACCAGACAAGGATAACTACAGAAAATGACCAGTTCTGTCACTTACAGGTTACTGAATAAAAAAATCCTGTGTAAGGTAATTGCTGACTGGATCCAACAGTGTATTAAAAGTAATTTATAATGATTAGTTAGCGTTTATCCTGGAAGGCAAGCGTGGCTCAAAGTCAGAGAAATCTCTCAGTTTATAATCTTCATATATGGTTTTAGACTGAAAGTCATTTAATTTTTTTTATAAGGTTCCATAGCTGTATATGATTAAAACTCTGAGCAAACCAGTAACAGAAGTGGATTTCTTCTTCCTCCTCCTCCTCCTTCTTTCTCCTTTCTTCTTTGAGATGAGTGCAGTGATGTGCTCACTGCAATCTCTGCCTCCTGGTCTCAAG